AATTCCGCTTATTCATTTGTTTCATTTCTTTATCAACAAATTTTAAGAAAATATTATTAACAGATATATAAGTATCCGATGTTGAAGTACTGACGATAGTTTTTTTTTTTTTTTTTTGGTTATTTACTTAAGTATTACCATTGGGTGCGTTGATACTGAACAGAATTGTGATATTTTACAAAAAATAGTGCGTTATTTGTTTTTAGATATCTCAACATATATCATAAAATGCTTATCTTATTTACCTCTGTTAGTCAGCAACAAATATTTCAGTTTTGGTGAATTATAGACCCCGATTGTGTATGTAGAATAGGACAAAATTTTGATATTATGAAATAGACATACTGAATATAAGTAAATTTGAGAAATTTCTTTAAGGCCTTTTCGTATCTAAATTAGCGGGATTTGAAATTGATTAATATTATAAAATTTAACAATCTAAAAACGATATGTAAAAATATCATCAACCTAATTGGTATTCTACATCGTACAGCAGAAGTCGAGGTTGCTCATAACAGTGATGCGTCTATGAATTCAGTTCTGTCCGTTTAAAATATTTTAAGTGATGTAGAAAATAAGTTTGGAAACGGCATTATGAATGAATGAATGAATGAATGAATGAATAGAAAAGGGGTAATTTACATAAGAAATTGAACAAAATAAAAATGGGATCAAAATCTTTCTGAATGGATTGCTTAGCGTCAGCGAACCGTCGCCGGTCTCTCTTCGACAGAGACAAAGTAGAGAAAGCATCCTTAGACTTACACACACACACACACACACACACATAATACTGCGCAAAAATATAAACGCATGAATTATTTATGTAATGGACTAGGGACAGTAATCTGTAGCACATTGAACAAAATAATTCACTTTGTATGATATATATATATATATATATATATATATATATATATATATATTACTGATAATTTTCTGAAGAATTGCGTTGGGCGTTCATATTACTCTCAGTGTATAATGTGGCAAGAATATGCCATATAACGGATCGAGTGGCATAAAAATGAAGGTCGCAATATTTTGTCTGTATCCAATATTACTGAAACGGGTGTAAAATTAGCAAGAAAATCCAAATATATTATTCATATGAACTCACAGTTTACGAGTGAAGGCTTGTATGAAAATATATCCCACTTGGAAATAGGAATTATTCGAAAATATTTACGTCCAGTCCAATGCCGGCGAGTAGCAAAGTGCTCTTCACAATCAAGAGGTCCAGGTTAACAATTAAAATAAACATCGGAGTCTTTGTTTATTTTCTTTTCCAGTATATTGTTGTAATTTATGAAGCTTTTACCCGCTTTACAAACTGTCAGTGCGATGCGAAGTGGATTGCAGTTTTAAATACGAGAGACCCGCGTTTTCTGTGAACCCTGTAGCCGATAGCCCTTTCGCACAGAATATTGTCTCACACTGAATGATTAGTTACATATCTGTTGTGGTTCTCAGTTCTTTTCAAATATTTACAATTGATATTGCATTATCTCGTGTTATTTAATGAGAAGTTTCTGACAGTTTGCTCAGTATTGTGCATCTTGCTTTGTCCCAGTCATAATTATTCCCTGGTTTTCCCCGTGAATCATCACTCGGGGTTATTTAGAGAGTTCCTATAAATTGGATCATATGAACAGACGAATATCAGGTTAGAATACCAAGAAAGAGCTTACCGCTTTATTATTTACATTCACATAGAAGCGCCAAACACGAACAACATAAAACATAATGCTGAAAATTGAGAGTAATTTTTTACACAAATGCTCTGTGCTTTTCTTAAGTTGTACATAGAAAGCCTAAGTGCCATACTTGCCAGGCACGTTTAATATGCTTTGGAGAATTCTCTTACATTTAACATGTGTAGAATCAAAGTATCTTACACGACCGGTTAACAAAATAGTAATGGTAGATAAATAAATGAATAAAATAGAGCAAATATGATATGATGATATTTAAAACAAAGTGACAACAATCTTAAAATGTGATATTTTTTCTTTTGGAAAAATAATAAATTACACACATGCTTTTTCTTTTCAACACAAAACGCATACTAAAAGGAGAGCCAAGTATTAAATTCCAAAAATTTTAAAATCTTAAGGGGAGCCAGGTGTACGTCTTGGTTGGCCTTATCTCCAGTTATCATATCATTATCTTAATGGAATTCATGGGTTCAGTCTAAGGTGGGATGGACTGGGCCCGCTACATAAAATATCAATTATTGTATGGCATCTTCGTGAATAAGTGACTTCGGCACGCTGAATTCTATGTGACCCTGGGATCAACGCATACAGGCATTTTTGATATATCTAAATTAAAATGGACAAAATTAAAACTATCAACATAACATAGTCCATTAATACGAATGGCATTGTAGGCGAATGGACATAAAGAAAGCGATGTTGGAATGAAGGGCAATTGGCTTTTAGTACACGGGATACTGGCAACTTTTTAGTTTTTCACATGTGAGACTATATTACAACACGACACTCCCTGGCTTGTCGCTCAGTCTGAGATGAAAATAGAATCAAACTCCTTTCAAAAATTCTTCGTGGCCTCTGTCATGGGGGACGAGAGGCGCGGAACGCATTACGCAAACCAATGCTCTGACAAAGGCCTGTTGCCCCTCCTTCCTATCATCAACCATTTGCCGGCAGATTAGATAGGAATTGCTACTAGCACTTATCGTTAGTAGAAAAGTCACTTACTGGCCAATTTTGTGGGACATGCGTTGTCCTGTAGTGGCGGTTCAGAGACTTAAGAAGGGATCTCTAAACTATCTGTAGTAATATTCCATAAGTGCTGTATTCCACACCAAGTAATAACATCATGTTCAGCTGTTTCGAAGCTTTGTTGTCACTGAAAGTTTTCTAATGTTAGGAATGACGCAGTCCACTTAGATAAGAGAACTTTGACATTTATGTTTAGTTTAATGGACGCCGCAACAACACCGTCGTGGTTTCCGTAATAATTGATAGAAAATGTCGAGGACACGAGGAGTGACATTACTTACTTGTCACGAAGAACTGACATTTTCTTCCTCTTCGGTAATAATAACACGAAGTTGTCTTTAGTAAATAATATAGGTGATGGGAGTAGAATAAATTATTCATAATGCTGCATCGGCTTTTCCAGTACAATTTAGAAGGTTGATAACTACACCGGTAAATAAATATGTTTATATGAGTACCAATCGCCTTGTCCAATACTTACGATGTCGTTGATCACCGGAAAATGAAGTTGGGAGTCTTATTTGTATTTATACCATGTTTCCATGAATGAGAACGTTATTGTAAGTAATCCGACTTTCTTAGTAAGTTGCAACATTTCAAAATTCCCGAAGATGCCAGTTTCTTGAAAAACTAATAAAAAATTACGCACGATTTTCTATTAGTTTACTTTGAAAAATCNTAAAGTATTACCATTGGGTGCGTTGATACTGAACAGAATTGTGATATTTTACAAAAAATAGTGCGTTATTTGTTTTTAGATATCGCAACATATATCATAAAATGCTGATCTTATTTACCTCTGTTAGTCAGCAACAAACGTTTCAGTTTTGGTGAATTATAGAGACCCCGATGGTATATGTAGGCTAGGACAAAATTTTGATATTATAACACAGACATACTGAATATAAGTAAATTTGAGAAATTTCTTTAAGGCTTTTTCGTATCTAAATTAGCGGGATTTGAACTTGATTAATATTATAAAATTTAATAATATAAAAACGATATATAAAAATATCATCAACCTAATTGGTATTCTACGTCGTACAGCAGAAGTCGAGGTTGTTCATTATAGTGATGTGTCTATGAATTCAGTTCTGGCCGTTAAAAAAATTTTAAATGATGTAGAAAATAAGTTTGGAAACGGCATTATGAATGATTGAATTAATAGAAAAGGGGTAATTTACAAAAGGAATTGAACAAAATAAAAATGGGATCAAAATCTTTCTGAATGGATTGCTTAGCGGCAGCGAACCGTCGCCGGTCTCTATTCGACAGAGACAAAATAGAGGAAGCATCCGAAGACTAACACACACACACACACACACAGACTTACACACGTGTGTGTGTAAGTCTGCGGAGGAATATATATATATATAATACTGAGCAAAAATATAAACGCATGAATTCTTTATGTAATGGACTAGGGACAGTAATCTGTAGCACATTAAACAAAATAATTCACTTTGTATGATATATATATATATATATATATATATATATATATATATATATATATATTACTGATAATTTTCTGAAGAATTTCGTTGGACGTTCATATTTGTCTCAGTGTATATAATAATGTGGCAAGAATATGCAATATAACGGATCGAATGGCATAAAAATAAAGGTCGCAAAATTTTATCTGTACCCGATATTACTGAAACGGGTGTAAAATTACCAAGAAAATAAAAATATTCATATGAACTCACAGTTTACGAGTGAAGGCTTGTATGAAAATATATCCCACTTGGAAATAGGAATTATTCGAAAATATTTATGTCCAGTCCAATGCCGGCGAGTAGCAAAGTGCTCTTCACAATCAAGAGGTCCAGGTTAACAATTAAAATAAACATCGAAGTCTTTGTTTATTTTCTTTTCCAGTATATTGTTGTAATTTATGAAGCTTTTACCCGCTTTACAAACTGTCAGTGCGATGCGAAGTGGATTGCAGTTTTAAATAGAGAGACCCGCGTTTTCTGTGAACCCTGTAGCCGATAGCCCAGTCGCACGGAATATTGTCTCACACTGAATGATTAGTTACATATCTGTTGTGGTTCTCAGTTCTTTTCAAATATTTCAAATTGATATTGCATTATATCGTGTTTATTTAATGAGAAGTTTCTGACAGTTTGCTCAGTATTGTGCATCTTGCTTTGTCTCAGTCATAATTATTCCCTGGTTTTCCCCGTGAATCATCACTCGGGGTTATTTAGAGAGTTCCTATAAATTGGATCATATGAACAGACGAATATCAGGTTAGAATACCAAGAAAGAGCTTACCGCTTTATTATTTACATTCACATAGAAGCGCCAAACACGAACAACATAAAACATAATGCTGAAAATTGAGAGTAATTTTTTTACACAAATGCTCTGTGCTTTTCTTAAGTTGTACATACAAAGCCTAAGTGCCATACTTGCCAGGCACGTTTAATATGCTTTGGAGAATTCTCCTACATTTAACATGTGTAGAATCAAAGTATCTTACACGACCGGTTAACAAAATAGTAATGACAGATAAATAAATGAATAAAATAGAGCAATTATGATATGATGATATTTAAAACAAAGTGACAACAATCTTAAAATGTGATATTTTTTCTTTTGGAAAAATAATAAATTACACACATGCTTCTTCTTTTCAACACAAAACGCATACTAAAAGGAGAGCCAAGTATTAAATTCCAAAAATTTAAAAATCTTAAGGGGAGCCAGGTGTACGTCTTGGTTGGCCTTATCTCCAGTTATCATATCATTATCTTAATGGAATTCATGGGTTCAGTCTAAGGTGGGATGGACTGGGCCCGCTACATAAAATATCAATTATTGTATGGCATCTTCGTGAATAAGTGACTTCGGCACGCTGAATTCTATGTGACCCTGGGATCAACGCATACAGGCATTTTTGATATATCTAAATTAAAATGGACAAAATTAAAACTATCAACATAACATAGTCCATTAATACGAATGGCATTGTAGGCGAATGGACATAAAGAAAGCGATGTTGGAATGAAGGGCAATTGGCTTTTAGTACACGGGATTCCGACAACTTTTTAGTTTTTCGTACGTGAGACTATATTACAACACGACACTCCCTGGCTTGTCGCTCAGTCTGAGATGAAAATAGAATCAAACTCCTTTCAAAAATTCTTCATGGCCTCTGTCATGGGGGACGTGAGGCGCGGAACGCATTACGCAAACCAATGCTCTGACAAAGGCCTGTTGCCCCTCCTTCCTATCATCAACCATTTGCCGGCAGATTAGATAGGAATTGCTACTAGCACTTATCGTTAGTAGAAAAGTCACTTACTGGCCAATTTTGTGGGACATGCGTTGTCCTGTAGTGGCGGTTCAGAGACTTAAGAAGGGATCTCTAAACTATCTGTAATAATATTCCATAAGTGCTGTATTCCACACCAAGTAATAACATCATGTTCAGCTGTTCCGAAGCTTTGTTGTCACTGAAAGTTTTCTAATGTTAGGAATGACGCAGTCCACTTAGATAAGAGAACTTTGACATTTATGTTTAGTTAAATGGACGCCGCAACAACACCGTCGTGGTTTCCGTAATAATTGATAGAAAATGTCGAGGACACGAGGAGTGACATTACTTACTTGTCACGAAGAACTGACATTTTCTTCCTCTTCGGTAATAATAACACGAAGTTGTCTTTAAGTAAATAATATAGGTGATGGGAGTAGAATAAATTATTCATAATGCTGCATCGGCTTTTCCAGTACAATTAGAAGGTTGATAACTACACCGGTAAATAAATATGTTTATATGAGTGCCAATCGCCTTGTCCAATACTTACGATGTCGTTGATCACCGGAAAATGAAGTTGGGAGTCTTGTTTGTATTTATACCATGTTTCCATGAATGAGAACGTTATTGTAAGTAATCCGACTTTCTTAGTAAGTTGCAACATTTCAAAATTCCCGAAGATGCCAGTTTCTTGAAAAACTAATAAAAAATTACGCACGATTTTCTGTTAGTTTACTTTGAAAAAGTGACGGCGACTGCTATTAGTTACAATTTTTCTAAGCTCCTAGAATTGGTTAAAAGTTCTCGTAGAATTCTCCACACTTGTTTAGCGGCTGTATCCATGGCAGAGGGGGATTTTCCCTTGAAGAGGTCGAGGTGGGGAAGGAAGTAGTGCGGGCAGCGGCGGTTCTGAAGACAGGAGATGAGCTGCAGCAGTATGCCGTTAATCCTGTCACCAATGCACGTTTCGTCCCATTCTAGCTCCCGGGGGTGTTTTTCACATTCATACAAAAGCAGAGTCTTGAGGTTATAGTTACACACGGGCTGGCCTGGGATGTCCAGATGCCTGTCTCGTAGTGTCTTCAGAATACTCAGACACCTCTTACGACTGCCACCCCGGAGCAACTTGTTCTCTGCCTGGTTAAATGACAAAACCCAAGCGTCCCCTTCCGCTGAGGACTGTTTATCCTTCATGTAGATACTTTCCTTGGAGAGAAGGTCAAACCCCTCCGTTTTCACCTCCGCCACCAGGTTGGGGTTGGGCCAGGGGATGTGTGGGATGGGCCAGTGCGCCGCACTGCGGGGCCATATACCGGCACACCGAAATGCCGTGGTGATCTGAACAACAAAACGGTCTCTTATTCGTAACTTCACCTCTGTGGTATCTGCTACCATTTTGACACAGTCCCTGTAGGCGCACTTGTCAACAGCCTGTGCGACCAAAGTCTGAAAACGTGAGCGTATTTTCCTGGCTGAGAGATACCCAGAGGCCGTGATAAACTCCACCCAGAGCGACATAGAGCGCTTCCTGCCGTCGCTGAGTTTGAGGACCGCGCACCCTGGGACCGTCCCGTCGTCAACGAAGTTGAACACCCCCATCTGGTTGAGGTAGAGCACCACTTCGAACTCGGTGGGTGACAGCACCTCCAGACCCTCGAAGCGACCGTTCACTTCACTGAGGGAACTGATGAAGCGTGGCTCCTGCACCTCCACCTCCTTCAGTACATCTTGCACAACTTTACACACCTCACGGACCGTCTTAGTCGTGGCTCCCTTCCGCGACTGCACCCGCTCGTTGTAGTATTTATTGAGTTGGAAGAGTAGTTTGGACTGTGCGGCCATCATGTTGTCCCCGGGGGTGGTGGTTGTGCTGGAGATGGGGCTGCAGGACCCGTTGGTAGGAGGATACGACTGGGNTGAATGAGAACGTTATTGTAAGTAATCCGACTTTCTTAGTAAGTTGCAACATTTCAAAATTCCCGAAGATGCCAGTTTCTTGAAAAACTAATAAAAAATTACGCACGATTTTCTGTTAGTTTACTTTGAAAAAGTGACGGCGACTGCTATTAGTTACAATTTTTCTAAGCTCCTAGAATTGGTTAAAAGTTCTCGTAGAATTCTCCACACTTGTTTAGCGGCTGTATCCATGGCAGAGGGGGATTTTCCCTTGAAGAGGTCGAGGTGGGGAAGGAAGTAGTGCGGGCAGCGGCGGTTCTGAAGACAGGAGATGAGCTGCAGCAGTATGCCGTTAATCCTGTCACCAATGCACGTTTCGTCCCATTCTAGCTCCCGGGGGTGTTTTTCACATTCATACAAAAGCAGAGTCTTGAGGTTATAGTTACACACGGGCTGGCCTGGGATGTCCAGATGCCTGTCTCGTAGTGTCTTCAGAATACTCAGACACCTCTTACGACTGCCACCCCGGAGTAACTTGTTCTCTGCCTGGTTAAATGACAAAACCCAAGCGTCCCCTTCCGCTGAGGACTGTTTATCCTTCATGTAGATACTTTCCTTGGAGAGAAGGTCAAACCCCTCCGTTTTCACCTCCGCCACCAGGTTGGGGTTGGGCCAGGGGATGTGTGGGATGGGCCAGTGCGCCGCACTGCGGGGCCATATACCGGCACACCGAAATGCCGTGGTGATCTGAACAACAAAACGGTCTCTTATTCGTAACTTCACCTCCGTGGTATCTGCTACCATTTTGACACAGTCCCTGTAGGCGCACTTGTCAACAGCCTGTGCGACCAAAGTCTGAAAACGTGAGCGTATTTTCCTGGCTGAGAGATACCCAGAGGCCGTGATAAACTCCACCCAGAGCGACATAGAGCGCTTCCTGCCGTCGCTGAGTTTGAGGACCGCGCACCCTGGGACCGTCCCGTCGTCAACGAAGTTGAACACCCCCATCTGGTTGAGGTAGAGCACCACTTCGAACTCCGTGGGTGACAGCACCTCCAGACCCTCGAAGCGACCGTTCACTTCACTGAGGGAACTGATGAAGCGTGGCTCCTGCACCTCCACCTCCTTCAGTACATCTTGCACAACTTTACACACCTCACGGACCGTCTTAGTCGTGGCTCCCTTCCGCGACTGCACCCGCTCGTTGTAGTATTTATTGAGTTGGAAGAGTAGTTTGGACTGTGCGGCCATCATGTTGTCCCCGGGGGTGGTGGTTGTGCTGGAGATGGGGCTGCAGGACCCGTTGGTAGGAGGATACGACTGGGGCGGTGCGCAGTACTCGAGTTCTTCGAAACGCATTGGGACGCCTCTGCTAGCACGCTATGCCGGCGTGCGTGAACTGGTACGTTAAGTCCGAGTGATAAAATGCAATTTATAATGATGGAATGAAGGATGAAACTGACTCGTGCCCGGCTCTAGCCCGTCCCAAGCTGATGATGGTCCAGGTTTGAAGAGTGTGTGGTGTGTAACTCCCGGCACTGGAGTGTTAGTGCTGCAATCTGTCACTGGCAGGACGAGTTCTGCTGTAACCAACCTGAGCTCGTATTTAACATGCAGCACAGCACGGCATGATGCGTGGGCTCCTTCTCTTCATTCGTCTCTGTCATCTACTCTATCTCTGTGAGAAATACACTCGCCATTTACGTATCTAAAGCCCAGACTGGACTGCTAGAATGGCCTTTCACTTCTTCCCCCACTGCCATCAACACTACGTCACATAAAAGTCAATGAAAGCCGTCATTTGAACCTCTGCCATGTTTCACCGACAACCATGCCACTGAATCGACCAATAGCGTACAGCGTTACATGCGCGCAGAGACTGCAGGCCTAATCCAGCGTGATTATTTGCTGGTAATTGACGGTAATTTGTGCGGATTTGGCCTAGCCACACCCCTTGGAGTCTGGATGGCGTCTATGCAGGGATTTCCCTTGGAAGTTGATGGCTCGGAATTTGAAGGAATTTTATCCGTAGGATTTCTCCGACGATTTCCTCAGACGTTTACAGCAGTCAGTTACGGGACATCTATTAACCCATTCCAAGGTATTTACTCTTTAGTCATTTTAGCACCTAATACATGCGATGGTGAAATGCAATATTGCACTAATGCTGACAAGAATAAAATTCCTTGCGCACCATCCGACTCGAACGACACGCCGTGGAAGTGACTGTACCGAGTTTGTGTGTGTGCTAGGGCGTAAAAACAAAACCCGATTTCAGTACTATGTCTATGCAAGGAAAGTTGTTCGTTTACGCGTAGTGTCTAATATTATACTTAGTTTTCTCCCAAGGAATTCCCAGCACCTGACGGCTCTGCGAAATTTACCAGGTCGGTAGTTGATGGTCTGCTGCTGGTGTTGTTTTGGTTTGAAGTTTGTTGGGGTTAGATTACAGGGTTTACGCAAGAATTAGGGCAGGCGCATTGAGGAGCAGTTTTTTTTTTTCGAATTTTTTTCTTCAAAGGAAAAGTAATTTTGAAAGAAACCAAAAATATGATAATACGTTTTTAATATTTTTTATTATTTATTTATTCATTATCTTTCTTTGAGGTTCGTTGATAAAATACGAAATCAATATTAATATTATTTGATTTTATCGCAGTGTATTCTGTATTTAGTTGCCAAGTGCACATATTCGAGTAGGCCCCGCATTTCATATTTAAGATTAAGACAATAGCGTTTTATGCTAAGTTTTTTTATTTTAATAAAAACCAATTTAAAGGCAATTATTATAGGCAAATGAAATTTCATTTGATACGGTTAATTCAGTGGTATGGAGAGAGTGTGCCTGGTAATTTGATTTTATCTGTCTGTTGTCTTCCAGGGTACGTCAATATTTCATGTTAAATGTGAGAAATTAAGAAAAATACAAGGGGTTTAGTTTGGGTAGTTCGATATTTGAGATTCCACAAAATTTGCTGTTTAATTTATTTATCTTTTCTTCTTTAAGTTGTTCCTAATATAGTGTGCAAAACGTTGTGAAATTTTGTTTTAAAATAAAAAAAAATAATAGCTCGGTCTTGCTTATGTACATGACGGTTGAGATTTGCGGGTTGAGTGTAGAGGATGGAAATATACGACTTGGCTGTTATTATGGCAATCGGAGAGATTAGCTCCCGGTGAGTTGCGGTGCTTTATGAGGAATTAAATCCTTGTAAATAGTATTTGTTGCCAATTATAAGCGGTATAGCACGGATCGACTAATTATATATGAGGAGCGGTGCCCTGGCTGGGCGGATTATTGGCTATGGTACTGAAGTCACGCTAACACGGGGACTTGAAAGCCGCCTCAGTCAGGGACAAACTATTGTATCGGGTGTTTGAAGTGGGCTTAATTTCAACACTAGGCAAAACTCATGGGAAGTGGAAATGCCTGCGTTCAGTTTGACAACGCCAAACCATTTTGCTTTTTAGTATGCATATATTTGTGTATAAAAATTTGGAATTGGTATAATAGTTATTCTTTTTTCTTTAATTCTATCAATTAAAAAAATGAACCCGATGAACCTGCTCTGATTATAATACAAACAAACACCTTTGAACACCAGAGAACTCGCAATCGGCGGCTTCGAGGCAGTCGCGTGCCCTCCCGTTCTCCTGGGACTGTTACTGTCTTCAAAGCTCGACTCATAATTAGGTTTGCTATTTCATGTGGTCATCCTCTGTCATGGGGCAGGGTCAAGGGGTGATGGACTCGTGTGATAAGCTCGCATGTTTTTGCCATGTTTCAAGTGCTTCCAATTATACGTGGAGGAGCTCTGTCTGCCGGCGTTTAATTTGGTGAAAATTTTAATTGGCAGAAAAATGCCACTTGTCGAGTTCGAAAAACAGCACATCGCGGTGTTTTGCGGGGAACAGGGACAAGAGGGAAATTATTTATGATATTGATTTTTTGAGATCCGACGAAGAGCAGTTTTTAGTTTAGGTTTTACGGGCTTTAAAACACAACGTGGACAGGCTGGCGATATAACATCACTAGGGCCGCGTTAATAAAGATCACGTCGGTCAAGATAGATTATTATAGATCCCTGTTGTACATGTACTTTAAATTATTTGTTCATTAGAACGAATATGTATATATGTATATAACAAAGAAAAAACGTAAAACATGCCCTCCTAAATTGTTGATAAATGTCTGTTTTCAGTGGCAATGGGCCATAGCGTTGAGTATGCAGTCTTAGCAATGTGATTTTAAAGACCGATGATGCACCGCCAAAAGTTAGGATCTTGAAATAACAATTTTAGAATCTTGCTGCCATAGAGGAAAACTGAATGAGATATTCCAATATTCCAAAGCCTGGAATTTTTTCTCCATACCGCGAATAGCGGTATCTTTAATTCGTCAGTCAGTAATATTACGTAAACAGACACTGGTTTAGGCACCGCACAGTGCAGCTTATCTGTTTATATAGTTGATTTTATCGTGGAATGCCAAGGCCGTTTTTCATCAAGCCACCGTAATCTAGACGCTAACTACGAGGCGAGTTAAACCAAGCATTTCTTGTATCAATCAGCGAACGCTTGAAATTGAAATTTATACTTGTAAACATAGGGCCCCCGACTAGTCTCATCTATGTTTGGGTTAGATGCAGGATAATTTTTGGGAAGGAGAAAGGGGGTCTATTATGTTTGAATACAGTAAATTTTCGTGCAGTGTATAATTTCATTTATAATTTAAGTATAATGTGGTGGTTCGTTTAGTATTGTAGGTGAAGGGCAAGGTGGTCGCAGCTGCTGCTGGTAGCCATTATATTGCTTCAGTAAGGAGTTTTTCCTGAAATAAACTAGTGTTAGTTATAGTTTAATTTCAGCTGCAATTCTCCTGTGTGCAGAAAAAAATACTCTGTTAAAAATTCATCGTAAGAACTCGTGTAGTGTAGGACCATCTTAATACTCATGAAAAGAACGTAGACTATTGCATCAAGTTAGTTAGAAGGAAAAGCTTCCACGGCGACCCGCCTGGTGGCTGTGTTTGTCTTACCAATTCCTGCACTTTGCGGCGACTAGGCACACGATTGACGGCTCTAATGGGCGCGCGAGGAGACGGAGACGCTGTGGCCAGCCGGTAATTGGCGGGGGCTGCGAACTTTTTGGGGAGCATTTATCCATTTTTCAATTCGCGTTTTCTGTTTCCAAGCCCAGAGCTTAATTTAAAAATAAAACCGTCTACGGCACACCACTCCGTGGCACACGTCACTTAATTTTCCGGCCCTGATTTCTGAAGAGGAAGGATTCTTATCGTTCTGTTTTAAGCCGGATTTCTAGCTACTTCCTATTAGATTTCATGGGAACTTTTTCTCAAAAGATACAAGTCTTCGGCGTTTGTTTTTCTTGGATGTTCCATGTGATTGCTTATTTCTCTCAGCAGATCGTATCTGCGTGTAAAAAGCGCAAAACGGCAAAACGCGTCTCTGGTGTGCCCGACATACAATAGCCTGCCGTGAAAGTACCTCTTAAATCTTTTAGAGGAGCACAAAAAATTCAGCCCTTCTTTCAATTTTCTGAAAGGCGTGTCACTCATCGCAGAGAAGCAATATTACGATGGAAAGTTTGCTTCTTACGTGCCATGTAAAGGATACGCGTGTATCTGAGCTGGTTTATTTATCTGGCGCTTCATATTGTAGTCAACTCCTCGGTGTCTTTGTTTGAAGCTGTGTTTGTATATGTCAATATAAACTCGTGCGTCATCTCAGCTTGGTTCACCTGATATGTATATATCTGCCTGTGTCGGCAAGTGAAGGGAAGGTACAACCAACTTTTTAAGTTGCTTTTTTAACTGTAAGATAACCTCGCTGTGTGTCTCAAAGGACTGCTTTATCCTTTTAAACAATAGGGTTGCTAAGCCTTGGAAGGTTAGACTGATAGTTGATGGCATTTAAACATTTTAGTAGAATGTAAATTATAAATTTATAATTTTTAGAAATTAAGAAAAAACAACTTTTCCTTCAGTTGAGTTATTTATGGTGCTGATCACTGTTCTCCTGCCTGAGCTGAGAACTGCAACAGTCAGAGCAAGGTGTTATTTTACCAAGATCAAAGGCAGGATGCCCTGCTGGCTAATTTTATGCCAACATACAGTTTTCAATTTGAGTTTTATTCCAAGATACTGGGACCATTAATGAGGGGGAAGCCCTTAGCGAAATGTGACCTTTACGCTTGTCTTGTTTCATCACAAGTGATTGGTTTATGAAGCTAAGATGAGCTGTAATGACAGATAAGCATACACTGTCATATCCAATTGAATACAGCATGGGGAGAAGCTGGGTATAATTCTTGTGTGCATCTGCCTACTCTACTTAAAGATTACAGCAAGATTATTTTAAAAGGGATTAATGTTTCTTGACAATATTTAAATCATTGAGAAAATGAAACATTTTGGATGCTTGTTCTTTGGTTTCTTTATTAAAAAAACTTTAGTAAAATTGCCTTTGAAAAGTTGCACTGGCTTTTTTTGTTACAGTGTGATACTGCACTTTTTTCTTCTTTATTATGTTGTTAGTATAATATGGTTATGGATTTAGTTTTAATGATTTTAAAGAAGAATTGTGGGAAAGAAAGCTTTCAAGAAATGGGGTGTGTGTGTGTTTGTGCTGAGTTCATGTGACAGCAGTAGTGGTGAAGTACTTGTGGCGCCTTCTCTATATCATGTTATTGTGATTACTTGGATATCTCAAAGTAAGCTCGCTGATCTAGGATATTTTTAAGGGTTTCATTTCCTTGCCTTTGGTCTCAGGACCACTGTGAGCACTTCAGGTTGTTCTGTTTTATGTGTTTTATCTTTCAGTTTCATGTGGTTTTCATTACCTAGGTCTTCACCCTTTTTCTGACATTCCACCCAAGTTTGTTCGAATTACAACTGGAAGATGGGGCCCCTCAGCACTAGGAAGACATTCTTACTTAGAGGTGATGAAAACTTGCATCATCTCAAAAGGATAACTCTGACTTTTTATTTTATCAGTTTTTAGGGATTATTTATTTCTCAACATTTATATTCGTTTGACCCTTTTAAAAAGTTGATTTTCATCGTAAAATTTTTCAAACT